GGCCGCCACGGCACTTCCGGAAAACGTCAATACGTCACCACGTCACGTGCCCCGGACGCGTTTCGTCACATCCGGACTTTTTCAACAGGATGTGACGAAACGCGACCGGGGCACGTGACGTATTGACGTTTTCCGGAAGTGCCGTGGCGGCCTTTTTGGGTTCTGGAACACGCGGCTGTTCTCGCCCTGGAGACTTCCATCTACTACCTGGCTCTCCTTCAGAGTTGGAAACATTTTTTCGTTCTCATTTTCTATAACTGCTTCATAAATCATTTATATGCTGAAATATTGATTTTCAACGGTTTACTGAAAGAAATTGCAACAAGCGGTGCTAACATAATGTAGCTTGCAATTAAGGGAAAGAGGGACACGTTATAGAATGTGCAGTCTAGGGATTATTGCAGTCACTTTTACAAGTGATTAGCTTGCTTTGTAAAAGCATTAGTTGCACATACAGTGAAGGTATGATTTGTGGCAAATGACGCATGCATTGTACTGAAAATACTTGTGCCAGAGTTCAGCTATAAAATTAGAAAAAAAATCTGTTTATTGATAATAAAAGCTAATTATTAAATTTTCTTTGGTTTAGTGGCTTATGCATTGTACTAAGCCCCACTTGCATATGCAGTTCAGAAATACTTTAAGTAGCTTGTTGTAGTCTTCCTGCAAACGTCTACATATTTTTTGGATTATGCTGGCCATACACTAACAGAAAAATTTTTCAGTCAAGCACAGTGTAAATGAAAATTCAAATGTTTAGAGCAAATGACTACTATCATGTAGGGGTACCAAATTTCAACCAATTAAATTGTTCAAATGTCATCCTGTGTGACGACTGAAAATTCGAATAATCTTCATGCAAACAGACGTTGAACTTTAGGTTAGTTCTCTCTCACATGCTCCTTACACACATACATTTTTCTGTTAAGTTCTCTTTGTTATATTTTTTGAGTCTTTAATGTCTTAAATGATTTTCAAATGACACCCATTAACTGAACGAAAAATGAATGTTCAAAATGGGCAAATTTCGAACAATTTTTCGGTTAGTGTATGGCGGTGAAAAGAGTAAGTAGCAACCCACAGAATTCAATTTTCATTATGTCACATCAGTGAAAATGATATCTTCATGTTACTGATTTGCTCAGAACTCATCATTTAATTTTAAATGTAATTATAAGTTCAGAAATAGTTATGTGTGGAATTCACAGTTTTTCACAGGAATACTCCAGTCAGACAATCCAGCAATGAAGGGGCACCTCAGAAGAATCTTTACATTTCCTGTGTGGCCATACACAGTAGAAGTAGAATTTTCTTAAAACATTTTCCACCAACAGACAAATTTCTAACTGTGAATGAGACTTTCGTTTGGGAAAGTCCATTCACTAAAAAATCGAATGTTAAAAGCAAATGTCTTTTTAAGTACTTTTAAACATTTATTATGTCATTGTATGTACTGATGAGAATTTTCATGTGAATATTTGTACAAATTTTCATACAAATGTATTTTCAAAAGTATACTAGTGTATGACCAGCTTTAAAAGGGCACTTGGGAGTTTTATTGCTATAATCTGAGTGTTTAGGATCTGTTAACTCATACTTTTTTGTTTTTTTTTTGTTTTTTTTGTTGTTACTCACCTCTCAGTTTATTGCATGGGGATGTCCTACGGTATATGGCTTCCTGTCCTGTTTCCTGTACTGTACAATTAGGATAAGGGTAATGTTGACTTGATAGTGAATTACATATCTTGGATTATAAACAAACCCCCAATCCCTTTGCAGAAAACAAAATTCCAACCTTAAACCCTAACACCTAAGAGCAGCTAAACACTAATAGTGATTCACACCTAAATGCTAAATCAGTAAATAAAGTGCAGATTAATTAGTACAGCCCCCTATGTTCTGCAATCTAAGCACTGAAGGTGTGATCTCTATAACTGAACACGTTTTGATGAGATAGCGTAACATACAGTCTCTGTAGCCTGGCAGACAGTGACTCAATCCAAATTACATCTTGCAGATCACAGAAAACTTTAATTGAAAACTTTTATGCAGATCTTCACAGATGAACATCAGATGGGTCAAAAAAGTTCAGTGTGTCTAGCTGCAGTACATGCAGTGAATGGAGGCTAAAGCATGAATAAGAGGAAGGCTGGAACTTACTATGTAGGGCATCATTGACTTCTCCATCACATCCAACAACGCCACCATCAAACCCGCCCCGCAGGCCAGAGTACTTGGTGTCATTCTGGACTCCAACCTATCCTTCCAACCCCGAGTCCAATCTTTAACTACCTAACTCGTGCAGACTCCACCTCCGCAACATTGCCAAAATCCGCACGTTCCTAACCCCAGAAACCACTAAACAGCTCATCCACTCCCTCATCATATCACGACTCGACTACTGCAACTCCCTCCTCACTGGCCTGCCTCGCCGCTGGCTATCCCTGCTTCAGTCGATCCTGAATACGGCTGCCAGACTCATTCACCTTTCCAACCGCTCCGTTTCTGCCACCCCCCTCTGCCAATCCCTTCACTGGCTTCCGATTGCGCAACGGATCAAATTCAAAATCCTAACGCTGACGTACAAAGCCGTCCACCATACTGCCCCGAACTACATCACTGACCTAATATCCAAGTACCACCCAACACGCACACTCCGCTCCTCACAAGACCTTCGTCTCTCTAGTTCCCTGGTCTCCTCCTCCCATGCCCGCCTCCAGGACTTCTCCAGGGTGTCACCCATCCTCTGGAACTCCCTGCCCCAACCCATCAGATTATCACCTACTCTCCTCTCCTTTAGGCGCACCCTGAAAACCCATCTCTTCAGGGAAGCCTACCATACCCCCTGCTAACTTGCCGACCTCCTCCACTCTTCCTACCACTCCATCCCCCACAGCTATCTCCTCCTGTACCACTATCCCCTCCCTCCTAGATTGTAAGCTCGAAAGAGCAGGGCCCTCGATCCCCTCATGTTTTGCATTGTATTGGTATTGTTCTGTCACATGTTCTGTCCCCCTTTGTAATGTACAGCGCTGAGCAAACTATTGGCGCTTTATAAATACTGTATAATAATAATCATAATCCCTTCGATACAGAGTGAAGAAGGGACAGAATTATTTAATGGCAAGCAAACAACAATGCATGTGTAGCATGATACACTACATAATATAAAATAGTAAAAATGTGAACTAACCAATATGATGTTATCAATAGTGACCACGCATATAATAAATAATGCCAGAAAACCCATTTATGTATATGTGTTGTCACTGTTGATAATATTATACTATAATATGTATTGGGTTGAACTAATTAATTTGTTTGGATGTAGTGACTGTGTATTTAGGAGTGCTACACTTTATTTATTGATTTGGTGCATATCTTAGCTTTTATTACAGGACGCAGGTCCCTCCCCTTTGTTATTTGTTTCTTGTTTTTGCTTGCTACAAAAGTCCTACAAAGTGGATGGGGTTATATGAGGGTGTACTGGGGCATTCCAATCAAAAAAGTTTCCAGTGTCCTGTCAGGTATTGGCATGTGACCCAAAGTCAATGAATTTCTGTCCTGTACTGTTCTCCAAGATATAGAATTTACTGGTAAGTCAAAATTCCCTTTTGTTTTTTGAGAGAGAGAGAGAGATGGAAAGAAATTAATATCCCTGTCCTCAAAATGCCATCACAATCACACTAAATAAAAGTCTGAATCTGTCTGGTGCTGTATTTTTGTTGACACTTTAAACAGATTTTATTACTAAGCTAATCATAGATTATTTCAATGTTATCCAGTTCATGATTAACTAGCAGTCCTCGTGCACACTGGACGTTTTTTGGATTTTGCGGGGGGGTTTTTTTTCTACAGCCAGTAAACTCTCCAGCATGTTATCCTATGTGTGCACACATAGGCTGTAAACAGCTTTTTTTTTTGGCAAGGGTGTTTTTTGCTTGGAAAAAAAAACCCAGAACTAGTGGGTTTCTAGAGGAGTTTTGTTTAACTGTAAAAACACTCTAACACTGGTAAATGTGGAAAAAAAAAAAAAAAGTAAAACGTGGCAAACCAGCATTTTTAGGTGTTTTTTTGCCCAAAATTTTGTTTTTCTTTTTGTGTTAAAAAAACGTTTTTAAAGTGACTTTTACAGCTAACGCTACCGGCGTTTTTAGGACGCCCAGTGTGCATGAAGACGTAATATTGGTTCAGGATGGGTGACCCTGTTGGTTGCCTCCTGTTTAGCATTCCTCAGTTGAAAAAAAATCGAACTTGGGAGGTGTCAGCTGTCAAAATACAGTCGTCGCAGGTAGGTTTGTCCATACGCGATGTGTAGCCTACTCGATGAATCTGTGCAGGCTGTATGGAAACACTATATATGTGTAAGGCCAGCATTTAAAAACATGAACATTGTTATAAAAAAGGTGTAGTCTGGCTGAAGTGACCCCACAGGCCTCCCCTTGTTAATTAACGTCAGTGTTAGGATTTTGAATTTGATCCGTTGCGCAATCGGAAGCCAGTGGAGGGATTGGCAGAGGGGGGTGGCGGAGATGGAGCGGTTGGAAAGGTGAATGAGTCTGGCTGCCGTATTCAGGATCGACTGAAGCGGGGATAGCCAGCGGCGAGGCAGGCCAGTGAGGAGGGAGTTGCAGTAGTTGAGTCGTGATATGATGAGGGAGTGGGAGCTGTTTAGTGGTTTCTGGGGTTAGGAACGTGCGGATTTTGGCGATGTTGCGGAGGTGGAGTCTGCATGAGTTTGTTAAAGATTGGACTTGGGGCTGGAAGGATAGGTTGGAGTCCAGAATGAAACCAAGTACGGCCTGTGGGGGCGGGTTTGATGGTGGAGTTGTTGGACTTGATGGAGAAATCAATGGGGGGGGTGGTGTCCGGGCTGGGGGGAAGACAAGAAACTCGGTCTTGGAGAGGTTCAGTTTAAGGAAGTGGTGCGACATCCAATCTGATATGTCGCTCAGTAGGTGTGTGATTCGGGCAGAGACTTATGACCTTAAAGAAAAGTAATGCTTATCAAAACTATTTTGTGCGTTAGAAGATACCCATTTAGAATTTATCCAAGTACCAAATCTTTAGGTCACAGAAATTTATCTACTCAGCTTTTTTTGGTGTTTACGGTCAATACTTTATTGCTTATAGGAGCAAATACGCCATATGAACCGCAACCCACAAGCTACGATTATGATGCACCTTTATCTGAAGCTGGAGACCTGACAGATAAATATTTTGCCATTCGAGAGGTTATAAAAAAGGTATTATTTTGGTTTTATGCACTGCCTTTGCTATTAGCTCCATTTCTTTTACTTAAAACAACTTGATTTGAATTATCATTCCTTTGCTTAATTTGTGCACCAAATCCTTTGGCATATCTTTTGCTGGTAAAGTCTGTAAGCCTGAATCAATTTCTACTATTCTCTTACTGTTGTTCTCTAAAATACGTTCATCCTTTTTCTTAAAATAAGAAGTATGTTATGCTTTATTGTCTGTGATAAATATAAAACTGACATAACCTTCCATGCTATGGAAAGTCCCAAGACCAAAGTAAGATTTTAGCTATGCCACCTACATATCACATCACCGTCCTTTTAATAGGTCTTTGGTTTCCTGTATTAAATGGTTACCAATTCTGCCTGGCAGTACTCGGGTCGTTGGTTCGAATCCCAACCACAACATCACCTGTCTGGAGTTTGCATATTCTCCCTGTGCCTGCGTGGGTTTCCTCTGGGTACTCCAGTTTCCTCCACACTCAAAAGATATGCTGGTAGGTTAATTGGTTCCTGTCTAAATTGGCCCTAGTATATGAATGTAAGTTAGGGACCTTAGATTGTACGCCCCTTGAGGGTTAGGGACTGATGTGAATGTACAATATATATATATATATATATGTAAAGCGCTGCGTAAATTGACGGCGCTATATAAGTACCTGAAATAAATAAAATATTACATTGTGGAATGAGGACTAGACATGTCTGACTTGGGGACTTCACAAACCAGACAGGAGATGTATTTTACTAAGTCAGTGCTGTATATAGACACTTTTGTTACTGGCCGTGCCCATCTTTGTGTTTTGTATGGACAGGTTTACTTTAATAACAATATTTAAAATGCAGTTATGTACAGTAACCCATATCACAGATTTATTGGCTGCAACAGTTATCCGTAATATCCAAAACTTCATGGCATAGGATAGTCAGATCACCAGACACAGTCTAACCACCCCAAGGTATTCCAGTCCATTACTGCATCCACAAACAGGGCAAGGCAAAAATACTTGTGTAAATAAATGGAGGGAACGGCAGGCCACTTATCTTGGGAGTGGGATGGTAGGAATAATTTTCTATACTTCACGGCCAGTTGTTGCCCCTTTTAATCCGACCAGTACTTGGGGTAGCAACGACAGGCATAGTGTGTCAGGTAACCTGCCTGATAACAGTGTGATTATTATTATTATTACACAGTATTTATAAAGCGCCAATAGTTCGCTCAGTGCTGTACATTACAAAGGGGGACAGAACATGTGACAGAATATCAATACAATGCAAAACATGAGGGGATCGAGGGCCCTGCTCTTTCGAGCTTACAATCTAGGAGGGAGGGGATAGTGGTACAGGAGGAGAAAGCTGTGGGGGATGGGGTGGTAGGAAGAGTGGAGGAGGTCGGCAGGTTTGCAGGGGGTGGGGTAGGCTTCCCTGAAGAAATGGGTTTTCAGGGTGCGCCTAAAGGAGAGGTGAGTAGGTGATAATCTGATGGGTTGGGGCAGGGAGTTCCAAAGGATGGGTGACACCCTGGAGAAGTCCTGGAGGCGGGCATGGGAGGAGGAGACCAGGGAACTAGAGAGAAGGAGGTCTTGTGAGGAGTGGAGTGTGCGTGCTGGGCGGTACTTGGATATTAGGTCAGTGATGTAGTACGTCGGGGCAGTATGGTGGACGGCTTTGTACGTCAGTGTTAGGATTTTGAATTTGATCCGTTGCACAATCGGAAGCCAGTGGAGGGATTGGCAGAGGGGGGTGGCGGAGATGGAGCGGTTGGAAAGGTGAATGAGTCTGGCAGCCGTATTCAGGATCGACTGAAGCGGGGATAGCCAGCTGCGAGGAAGGCCAGTGAGGAGGGAGTTGCAGTAGTCGAGTCGTGATATGATGAGGGAGTGGATGAGCTGTTTAGTGGTTTCTGGGGTTAGGAACGTGCGGATTTTGGCGATGTTGCGGAGGTGGAGTCTGCATGAGTTTGTTAAAGATTGGACTTGGGGCTGGAAGGATAGGTTGGAGTCCAGAATGACACCAAGTACTCTGGCCTGCGGGGCGGGTTTGATGGTGGCGTTGTTGGATGTGATGGAGAAATCAATGGGGGGTGGGGTCCGGGCTGGGGGGGGGAAGACAAGAAACTCGGTTTTGGAGAGGTTCAGTTTAAGGAAGTGTGATGAAGTTTAATCTCATGTCTGTGATTGCTACAATACCTTGTACAATGTTACTTAACAGGTTGCAGTTTAAATAGCCCTAATTAATCCATGTTTCATTTTATTTCTTTCAGTATAAGAAAATCCCTGAAGGTCCTATCCCACCAACAGCACCCAAATATGCTTATGGAGAAATATATGTGGAAAAGGTGAGCATTTACTTTTTAGAGTGTATTACCTACTGGAAGAAAACCTGTTTATGTTATAAAAGATGGACTTTAGGTGGTTTAAAGATGAATTTCAGGCGTAGTATATTTTTACATACATTGATCTAACTTGGACCAATATAACTGTTTTAATGTCATACCTGGCTGATGCCCCTGGAAGCTGGAAATTACTGAAGTAGATACTTGTGCTTCACGATTCCCCACTTGCTTCCGGGTCCTATGCGGAACAGCAGGCTTAATGCATTGTGCAGGAGGTCAGCCACTCAGCCCAAGTGCTATACAGAGAATGCTTGGCATTTTCTCAGAAATTGCAAAGCGTTATCTGATTGGGCGAGGTGGGGTGGTGATTCCATGCTGTCCACTTCATCCAATCAGAGAATTCTTTGCATTCACTCAGAAAAAGCTATCTCTGAATGGCCTGTGCTGAGCAGCTAAACTCCCGTATTAACACTGCATTCAGCCGGCTGCTCAGCACGGGACCCAGAAGCAAGTGAAGATCACAGGATTAGCAATGTCTGCCTCAGTGAACTCCAGCTTCAAGGGGAAGTGTTTGTATGTGTGTATCTATCTATCCATTCAGTTGTATCCGACCCTTGGCGATTGCATGGACCATCACTCGCAAGCGACTTTTTTCCATGAATTCTCTTAGCAATTATTTTACAGGGTAGGTTGCCAGGTCTTTCCCCACCCCTACCATGTAGGAGATCCCACATGGCCAGGGATGAAACTAGGACAGAAGCCAATTGACCTACCAGCATGTCTTTGGAGTGTGGGAGAAAACCGGAGTACTCGGAGGAAACCCACACGAACACAGGGAGAACATGCAAACTCCATGCAGGAGGCGCCATGGTTGGGAATTGAAGTGCTAACCACTGTGCCGCCCATATGTGTGTGTGTATATATATATATATATATATATATATATATATATATATATATGTGTGTGTGTGTGTGTGTGTGTATATATATATATATATATATATATATATATATATATATATATATATATAAATATAAAATGTGTGTGTGTATATATGTATATATATATATATATATATATATATATAATGTGCAAGCTGGATGAATGTAAAAATATAATCTGATCTGCCTTGAATTTTTCTTTAAAGAAGAACGCCAGTCTGTAATGTTTATATGAAATGCAATAAAGAACCTAAATCACTACATATAATTTTATATTGTTCTTTATCTGACTCTGGGACCTAGGGAATGGCAAATAATAGGCAAAATACTTTAAACTAAACCACTACTTCAGGACTCGACAAATCACAGGTTGCCATGTTGACTAGAAATTGTGTCCTGGCGCCTGGGTTCACACACTGCCCCCCAATGACTGCAATGCAAAATTGCATCCCATTGACTTCAGTGCAAAAACGCCTCTCATTGACTTTAATGCAAAAATGCCTCCCATCACATCTTTGTTAACCACCTCAATAGGAACACATAATATGTAGCCTGTCATGTGAATCTGTGAGTTTGAAAATGCATTCAGAATCGCATATGTGTGAACTATTTACACCTGGGCATTTTGGTATCCTGGCAGATTCTCTTTATTCTCAATGGCACCTAAAATATGGTGCGGTTTTGCTGTGATCGTCGCTCAGCAAATTGCATTGGGTGAAGCTTGTTGCCCAAAAGTTGCCTTGCCCTGGGCATTGACAACACATGCTACGTTAACAGAAAACTAGCTAATAACTTTTTTTAGCTGGCTCCTAGATTCAAAGCAAAATTTTCAAGCCCTGTGTCAGGAATCTAGGAATGACCAGAAAGGTGTGGACTGACACAGGGAAACGCAGGTCTCAGGTACAGTATAATAATACAGTTTATTATTAGCCACCCAGATATATATATATATATATAAACGCACAATGAGCAAACCAACCTTCCACTAATCTTAGTAGGTGCAGGAACACAGGCGTAGTCAGGGCTGGAGAGGTGGAATGGTCAGGCCGGCCGTAGGATTCTGTAATGACCGTTTGATGGTACCTCTAGCGGTCCCCAGGACAGGATTCCCCAGGGCGCGGAGTCTAAGTCCCAGTCTGCTTATTCACCAGGGCCCCTGATGGTGGGGATGGACTTGGAGCAGACAGGAACCAGGTCGCGGCCCCTGAGCACACCTGCTAGTGGTAGAGGGATCCGCCAGAGGTTTGTGCAGGTAGAAAGCCTGATGTGAAGAGGCAGAAGGTGTGAGCAGGGACGGCTTGGATCCGTGCAGGATGGATGGATGGCAGAGTAGTTAGCGTGGTCAGACGGGCCAGGTCAGCAATGTGCGGGCAGCAAGGTACCAAAGGAGCAGGCAGAGAATGGTCAGGGTCACAAGCTGGGTTCAGTAACTCACGGGCAGCGCGGTACAAAGGATCAGGCAGAAGGATGGTCGGGCAAGCCAGGGGTTCAACAGGAGACGGTCAGCAGAGGTCAGGATCAAGCAGGGTCAGCAACGAAGCAGGAACACAGGATACCAGGTACAGAGGCTCATGGGAAAACATACACCAAGGCCCAGATCACAGGCCTGGCCATGCCTTAAATACACCTTTCTGCAATCAGTCCCAGGTTTGGCTGATTGCAGAAGTGAGCTTCTGGCTGCTGAGAGCACCCGCTGGTCAGCTCTGGTACTGCAGCCCACACGGCAGGTGAGTCCCACCACCAGTGCTGAGTCCATTCCTGACACCCTGCCTTTACATTTACATTTAATTTGCCCTGTTTACCAACTAGGTATTTATCTTGGACACTTTCAAACATTTTTTAAAAATATCCATGTAATGTGCCCAGTTCAATGTGGAGGGCATTATCTGTTTACAAAAGTACAGTTGCAAGAAAAAGTATGTGAACCCCTTGGGATTACGTGGAGTTTTGCATGAATTGGGCATAAAATGTGCTCTGAACATCATCTAAGTCACAACAATAGAAGAACACAGTCTGCTGAACATAATACTACACAAACATTAGATGTTGCCATGGTTTAATTGCACATAACATGTAAACATTCACAGTGCAGGGAGGAAAAAGTATGTGAACCTTCGGACTTAATAACTGGTTGACCCTCCTTTGGCAGCAATAACCTCAACCAAACGTTTCCTGTAGTTGCAGATCAGACCTGCACAACGATCTGGAGTAATTTTGGACCACTCCTCTTCACAAAACTGTTTCAGTGTAGCAATATTCTTGGGATGTCTGGTGTGAATCGCTCTCTTAACGTCATGCCACAGCATTTCAATCGGGTTGAGGTCAGGACTCTGACTGGGCCACTCCAGAAGGCGTATTCTGTGCTGTTGCTGCCATTGTTTTGTTGAATTACTTGTATGCTTTGGCTCATTGTCCTGTTGCGTCACCCATCCTCTGCAGAGCTTCAGTTGGCGGACAGATGGTCGTACGTTTTCCTGCAAAATGTCTTGATAAACTCTGGAATTCATTTTCCCATCAATGACAACAATCCGTCCAGGCCCTGAGGCAGCAAAGCAGCCCCAAACCATGATGCTCCCTCTGCCATGTTTTACAGTGGGGATGAGGTTTTGATGGTGGTGTGCTGTGCCTTTTTTTTCTCCACACATAGTGTTGTGTGTTCTTCCCAAACAACTCAATCTTAGTTTCATCTGTCCACAGTATATTTTGCCAGTAGTGCTGTGGAACATCCAGGTGCTCTTTTGCAAACTTCAAACGTGCTGCAATATTCTTTTTGGACAGCAATGGCTTCCTCTGTGGTGTCCTCCCATGTACTCCATGTGCCAGAGATTTCTGTAGGTCTTTAGCTGACACTCTGGGATTCTTCTTTACCTCATGCAGCATTCTGCGCTGTGCTCTTGCAGTCATTTTTACAGGACAACCACGCCTAGGGAGAGTAGCAACAGTGCTAAACTTTCTCCATTTGTAGACAGTCTGTCTTACCGTGGACACATGAACATCAAGGCTTTTGGAGATACTTTTGTAACCCTTTCCAGCTTCATGCAAGTCAACAATTCTTGATCGTAGGTCTTCTAAGAGCTCTTTTCTGCGAGGCATGGTTCACATCAGACAGTGCTTCTTGAAACCAGTAAACCCAAAACAGGTGTGTGTTTTTTAAGGGCAGGACAGCTGTCAGCAACACATCCAATATCATCACACTGATTGGAGTCAAGGTTGGCTCACTCCTGGCTCCAATTCGCTCTGGGAGAAGTCATTAAGCTAGGGCCTCACATACTTTTTCCTCCCTGCACTGTGAATGTTTACATGTTATGTGCAATTAAACCATGGCAACATCTAATGTTTGTGTAGTATTATGTTCAGCAGACTGTGTTCTTCTATTGTTGTGACTTAGATGACGTTCAGAGCACATTTTATGCCCAATTCATGCAAAACTCCACGTAATCCCAAAGGGTTCACATACTTTTTCTTGCAACTGTACCTTTTCTATTTGATAATAAGTCTAATATGGAAACCATTCTGATATCAGTGCTAGTACGGAAGTGTATTTTGATGCTGAGCAAAAAACAGAGAAGGCCAGCTGATTTAGAGAAACAGAAGTATCCTTTGCCTCTTTCTGCTGTGAAATGCTGTATCACTTTGGGTCCAGGGGTGTCTAGTCTTTGTCAGAGCCATTGATTGACCGTCCTGCTTGGCACACCTTCATCCCTCTGCCCCTGGTACCTGTTTCAGGGGATGCTCTACTCCGGGAGATGTCGTCCATATTTGGTGGACATGGCCTATGCTCGCCTGATTCTGGCCAAAAGTCCTTAAACTCCTACAATCATTATTAACCTGCCCCTTCTCAAAAGACCCGTGGCATGTCTTATTACACCTGAAACCTTTGCGCCTCACCAAACGCCAATTTAAACTGGCTACTTATGTACTACTGGCGGCAAAACAAACCATAGCAAAAGCTTGGAAACAGTTCACACCCTTCACAGAAGTCAGCTGCCACTTGGGTTGCTTTTTCTTTTCATGAATGAAAAGCTCTCCAGCATCCTTTTAGTTACACACGAGAGATTCCT